CTGAAGAGGGGGAGGCAGGATAGAAATATAAAATAAGGGGAATGAATTCAAAATATTAGTCATTATAATAAATGTAAAAAGGTCAAATATTACAGTGAGAAGACAAAATTTGACTCGATTTTTTTAAGAAATCCAACTATTGGTATTTACAAGAGATGTATGTAAAACATGGATTCAGAAAAACTGAAAGTAAAAGGATGCAGAAAACATAAAGCGATTACTAACAAAAAGAAAGCACATGTATTTATATTAATATCAAACAAAATGGGCTTTTTTTTTAATATTTATTTTTTGGCAGAGCGCAAGCGGGGGAAGGGCAGAGAGAGGGGGACAGAGGATCTGAAGCCGTCTCTGCACTGGCAGGCTGTCATTGCAGACCCCAATGTGGGGCACATCTCACAAACTGCAAGATCATGACCGGAAACAAAATCTGATGCTCAACGAACTGAGCCACCCAGGTGTGCCCAAAATAGGCTTTTAAAGCAAAATGTATTATTAAAGATTGATATAGTCACTGCAAAATACAAAGAGAAACAGACAACTCCACAATCACAGTAGGTGATTTTCAAACAAAAGTCTTCCTGATAGAGCAAGCAGACCGAAATGAAATGAAATGAAATGAAATGAAATGAAATGAAATGAAATGAAATGAAATGAAATGAAATGAAATGAAATGAAATAAAATACTACTTTAGAAGGTCTAGTGAAGTTAATAAGCTTGTTAAAACAGACACAGAATGCTCTACCAACAGCTACAGAAGCACATAAAAAAACACCACATACTGAACTGTAACTAAAATCTCAACAAATCTTAAAGCTTTGGCATCATGCAAACCTTGTGTTCTGACCACACTATAATTCAGTTAAAAATCATTAGAAAAATAATTAAGGGAAACCCCTCATATTTGGAAATAAAAAAACATATAAATAGTTCATGGGTACGAAATCATAAATAAAAAGAGAAGTAATCAGAATTGGAAAAAAATAACTTCATACCAAAACTTTGGGAATTATGCTAAATCAATATAACCAGGTCTTAAGACCACTGCTGATTCTTTAGCTTAAAAAAAAAGTTTATAACAATGATTAATTCTGTAATTCTTTACTGCCCATGTACAGTGCATTTGGAAACAAATATAAAAATACATACAAGAAAAAAGAATTTTAAGTACCTGAGAAAGTTGAAAAAATGTTTTCAGGTGTAGATAACTTTTTGATTTTCATTCACTAAAGACCTACATACAGCTCTATGTCTTGAAAGATTGAAAGAACAGTATCCACTGCGTTTATATGAAGAAAACTCACAAACAGGAACAGTGAATTAACAGTAAATCATGTATTTCTATATTTGGAAATTGAAGACAAACCAGTATCGTTCTTTAATCTTAGGAATTTAGAAAAAACTCAAATATCTTTCATTCATTTTAAACAGTCAAGTGAGAAAATGTGAAATTATCATACTTAGATGGTACACTTAATGTAGCACCTTCTCTTTTAATTCTCTCAAGATTTCATAATTTCCACCAAGCTGTTGAATGGTTACTAGTTTGAAGGAAGCATCCTGATTCATAAACATCTATCCTAAGCTATAATTTTGGACCAGATTCACATACTTGAGTTACAAATAACAAGTGGTCTAAGTTTCAAAAATACAAGCCACATATTCTAAAGCCCCCACCCCCACATCTCAGCCTACTAGCATTCATTTTGAGTGTTCTCTTATTTTGGGAAACCCACGATAATCTCATTACCTAAATACCATCTGTACCTATTTATCTACAGAAGCAAAGAACCCTTTAGCAAAAACCAAGTGTGAAATAATTTTTCTCTCTTTTAAAAGTAGGTTAGGACTTCTAAAAGAAAAAAGTGAGGTTGATTTGGTTTATTAAAGTCATCTCTTTAACATACGTTTGCTTTGATAATAATACTGGCTCAATTCTGTGTTTCATCTGCTATGTTTAAAAAAATCACATAAAAACTAGATTAAAGCATGAAACTAAAACTGCCAACATGTTTTGCCCTTTGTTTTCTACTAATGACAACCACAACAACTCCTCTATTAATTCATAGGTAGTGAAAACGTCAAAGTGTATCAGAATTATAACACTAAGTGTATTTTCTGGATCTATTCCTAAATCCTTGTGAGTCTGTTATTGTATGGCCACAATACATATAACAATTGCAAAAGGATATGCCCAACATATATCAAATTACAGATTCACTGTTACTTTAAGACATTTTACTAACCAATTTCCTTATTCTGAGCTCCATTATGCATCCAAATCTAAAGCATTTAAAAAGATGAGGTAGTGAAATTGCTGAAAAAAAAGATTAATATACAAAAATCAGCCAGTGATAGTAATTAAAAAAAAGTGGGGAAAAAAATTTCATTTACAATTATATCCCTTTTAAATCCTATATATTTGCATACCCTGTATTAAACAAAATAAATTTAAATATATAATAAACATTTAACATGCATATATATAATACGCAGTACTTGACCTAACAAAAAATGTGCAAAACCTATGTGATATGTGAATAAAGAACTATAAAATTACTGAGGAATATGTAGACACTATACTTATTGTATGGGCGTTTTCATTATTGTAAATATGTCAATTTTTCCCAAGTGAATCCACACCTTTAAGGAATTTCTAATAAAAATACCAACAGAAAATTTTGGGAAATTTAACAAATGCATTAAAAATTTCATTTGAAAGGAGAAATGCATATGGCTACCTAAAAAAACAGAAGCAACAAGACTACTGAAGGAACACTTGCCTTTCCAGATACCAAAATATATTATTTAGCTATACTAATTAATGTAACTCTACACTGGTATAGGAATAGAGAGTTAGACTAATGAAATCAAACAGGACAAAATCAGTAAATAACACTACATAAAATCAAACTTCAGTATGGCAATGAGTCTGAAAGGTCAAAGGACAAATGATAATCTGTGAAAATGTTTACAACGTGAGACAAAAGGTTAATATCCTTAAAATATAAAAAGTTCTATCCAATCAATTTTTTAGAGGCTAAGAAAAACCCCAACATTAAAACAAAGGATAAGAACATAAAATTGGATGTCCATTACACATATAGAAAGATACTCATCCTCCCTAAGGAAAGTAAATATGAGCAATGAAAATTTTTCATCTGTTAGACTGGCAAAGATTAAAAAGAATGATATTGTAGTATTAGCAAGAGTGTGGAGAAATGGATACCTGCATATAGTAATGGCAGTATAGAAGTTGCAGAAAGCAATTTAGCAGTATCTACTAAAATATTAAATCTAGATATTCTCTGATCCCATAATTTTAGATGTTGGAAGCTATTCCATAGAAAAATATGCATGAGTCTGTCTGTAAAGGACCAGGTGTATAATATTCATGTACCACCATACATAGTATAGACAAAATAGAATGACCTAAATGACACCAACAAGTGAATGGTTCAGATAAATAAATAATGGCACATTCACATTATGGAATATAATGCAACACAAAAATTAAAAAGGCACCTCTACGTTTACTTACTTGGAAAGATATCTAACAGTATATTCTACTGTGAGTGTACTGTTAAGTTTTTTGGAAAAAAAAAAAAAAAAAGGAATTTGGAGGGCCACCTGGGTGGCTCAGTCGGTTAAGCATCCGGCTCTTGGTTTCTGCTCAGGTCATGATCTCACAGTTTCCTGAGTTCAAGCCCTGCATCCGACTCCACGCTGGCAGCACGGAGCCTTTTTGGGATTCTCTGTCTCCTCTCTCTCTGCCCCTACCCCACTTGCTCTGTCTCTCTCAAATAAACTTAAAAAAAAAAAAAAAAGGAATACCAATGTGAAAATTAAAAAAAAAAAGGAATTTGGAGAACAGTGTGCAAAATATGATCCCTTATTTGTATGTGTAAAGAAAACTATCTGAAAGTTTACAGATTCAATTACTTTACATCCTTTTGTAAGGACTGAATATTTTTGCAGTAAGTATACATTCTTTTGTGTTAAAGTACAAATCTTAGGAGAAAAATCTAACGTTTCTTACATGGAGTACTATATTCAACTGAACATTTTTTCAATCTTTACAGGATAAAAGCTATTTAAAAAATCAGCAATAAAATCGCCTTTTTAACTCTTGAAAATGTGTTCATTTTCTAAGCACATATTGAGTGTGTTAGACTCTGAAGATATAAAAATGAATGAGACATTACCTCTGCCTTGAAGGAACCCAAAGTAAACTGTGAGGGACAGACTAGTATTCAAATAAGTACAATGAAGTGCCGAAGTTACTATGACAGTAGTATACGTAGGGATAAAAATGGAAACGGAAAGGGAGATCATTCTACTTGTGGGAAAACATATCAGAACAGACTTAAGCTTATGCTTGAGTGAAATCTTAAAGATGATGCACTGACCAGATGGACAAGAAGAGAAAGGAAGTACGTGCAAAAGAGATATATATGCATTCTTCTAATTAAGGAAGATATTTCTGGACAGAGTGCTACAAATATACAATGATGAGAATTTGAATGCCAAATGTCAAACCAAAACAATTTTCAAACCTATAATAATAACGTTCATCTAATATAATTTTATTTTCTATGCTAGCTGAAAATTCCTTTTAAGTTCCAGCTATTTTTTACAAATTTTTTTTCTAAAAAATGTCTACAAAAATGCTTTTTAAATGGTTGTATTTAAAACCCTGTTTTATTTCTTCATTAAAATACAAACTGCCTTCTAAGTGCACAGACTTTATGCTTTCCCTGCTTAAATTCTTCCCCTACACCGTAGTTCCAAAGCTCAACATGTTTGAGTCCAATGCAAAAACACCCCAACACAATAAACAAGGTCTATTTTCATAAAAGAGTTCATATTTTGCGAACACCTAAAGGTTCTTAACACTGCTTTCAGGGAGTGTATCTCCTTCGCTGCAAAATATTACCCAACTTACCTCTAAGGAACAAAACCTACCACACACATACAAAGAAAAATGTGGGCTTTTTACCTCATGAAGCGTGAGATGTTTCCCATCCTTTCTCTTTGAGTCAAACCTGCCATATATTGCACTGTACTTTCGAATTTCCTCCTCTTTGTGTGGATCATCGTCACTCATCTCAAAGATGTGCCCGATCATTTTGGCCAACTTCTTGTTGGTTTTTAGCAGCTCTTTCACTTCATTCAAGTCACTTTTTGGCAGCGTGGGGGCCATCCGCTCCACACACTCGGCCACAGACAGCGCGGCGGCAGCGTCCAGGGCCTCGCTGCTTTCCTTCGGGGAAGCCGGGGAGCCAAGGTCTGCCGGAGAGAGGCTGTGCTCGCTCTCGGTGGCGTGGTGGCCTTGCCAGAGTCTGGACTCCCCGATACCCTGCAGCACTAAGCTCCCCACCACATCTGATTTCCCCTGTCCCAAACTCTGCACACAAGTGGTGGCAGCGCACTTGGGGATTTTTAAGTGAGGTTCCCGGGCACTGCTACTCCTGTCATAACTGCTGCAGGATATCCCCAGCCACGTTGGTGATCCCTCTGGTAACTTATAGATGGGTATGCTACTGACAGGCAGGGAAGTCAGTGGCTGATTGAAAAGGCCAGGGTTTGTAACCCAGTCTCTCAAAGCTTTCTGTAGCCTTCTGACATGAAGGGGTTTGCTAGCCATGCCCACGAGCGCCATGATTTCCAAGAATTCCTCTTCTCCAGCTTCACAGAGCTGCTGGACATCATCACCACCTTGTTGAATAAAGGCATCAAAGTAAGACAGCAGATTGGCTTTTTGTAATATTCTATACAACTGCAACTCCCCCAGGGTCCTGGGTAAGGCCGCAGCCATTACTGTGGATGGTCTTAACCTGCAAGAAGAAGAGAGGAAATACTCATCTCACTTGCTCCAAAATTCTTAAACCTGTTTTTCAGACACCACAGGATTTACAAATACAGTGTGGGAAGAACAAAGACAAGGAGCATTTGCATAGCAACTGTTAAGGAAGCATCCCCCCTCTACATAAGTTCTCTCATTTTATTCTCCTACCAATCCTAGTGGTCAATATAATTGTTTCCATTTTAAAGTGAAAACTATAAAGAATGCAAGTAATTTGCCTAAAATCTCACAACTAGTTAAGCAGAAGTCTAAGACTCAAACCAAGGCTTACAGGGCTCTATATCCTCTATTTTTGACTTTTCACGTTGCTGCTTCCATGGTATGGATACAGAGGTGAAGTGAAGGATAATCAAATTCAGAAGGACATAATAAGTATGTTATACTGCCATTTGCCGAATACTTATTTTGCCTCAGACAATATGACAAATACTTTACATTACATCTACAGATGGTCCCCAACTTACAGGTTTGACTTACGATTTTTCAACTTTGCGATGGTGCGAAAGCCATATGCATTCAGTAGAAACCATGCTTCAGATTTTGAATTTTGATCTTTTCCTGGGCTAGCAATACTCTCTTGTAATGCTGGGCAGCAGCAGTGAGCCAACGCTCACAGTCAGCCACACAATCATGAGGATAACAACCAATATGCTTACCATCATTCTGTGCCCATGCCAACCACTGGTTTTGACTTTCAGTATTCAATAAATTACATGGATATCCAACACTTTATTATAAACTAGGCTTTGTGTTAGATGATTGTGCCCAACTGTAAGCCAATGTAAGTGTTCTGAGCACGTTTAAGGTAGGCTAGGCTAACCAATGATGTTCAGTTAGGTTTGGTGTATTAAACCCGTTTTCAACACATGACATGTTACAACTTTCTGGAATGTTACCCCAACTATAAGTCAAAGAAGATCTTTAATCCTCTCAACAGCCCTGCGAAATTGGTATAGTAATTCCCATTTTATGAAGAAAAATTAGCAAGATTAGTCTGGCAGGCAGAGGAAGATAGATTTCAGTATGAATTGGAGGTGAGAAGATAGAAGGTGGTGGTAATTTAAGAACCAAGAAAAAGAGAAGGAGGAAAAATTCAAACAAATAAATGACAGGATTTGGTGATCACTTAGATGTAAGTGATGAAGGAAAGGAAATGGCTACCATTTTTTGACACTTTCTGTGATTCCACGAAGAAAAGAGTTAATGGATGACTACAGGATTAGACAGTCTAAGAACCGCGACAGGCATTGGGGATACAGAAAAATCAGGATGATGAGATTCTCTTTCAAACATATGGCACTTGAAGATGGCGTAAGGTAGAATGCTTAAATAGATATGCCCTGCATGCAAAGTAACAGACTGGAGCCTAAGTGTGTATAACGGTTAGAGATACAGAATGGAAAAAGGGAGAGTGGAACAGCCCTCCAAAGAAACAGAGGAGAGCCTAAGACAGAGTCCAGGAAGAAACATACTCTTAGAACCCAATCAAGACAGAGAAGCCTGCTTTTAAAGAGACAGAACAAGACCCAGCAAAGCACTTCTTGACCTCTTAGCAGCCTTTAAAAGTTATTCACAGTTGCCTGGAGACCTCCCACATACAAAGAGGAGTTGGCCAAGTACTTCCATATAAGAGAAACAAACAAACATGTTGTAATCAACCTACTCCTTTAGGATTAAAAAGTATCCTATAGCCCTCCATGGAGAAAGTTATCGAAAGCCAAAAGAGTATGTACATCAGAGGAAAACGGAAGCTCCACTTGCAACTCAAAATTGTACAGAACAACAGTTAACTGGGAGATAAGGCAAGCAGAGGAGTCTTAGGAACATCTCTAAAGGCCAGGAGGTCATCCAATTTTTGGGACTTCTGTTTTATGTCATTGACCAGAATGCTATACAAAATCCTAGTCTCAGTCATCCCATTGAAGAAGAATGTAGCTCCCTAACACCCTAAGGACTGACTTCTAAGGGGACCTCTGTGTCATCCACAATCTGCTTGGATCAACTAGTGACTTCCTCAAATTTTATGGTTCTTTATTTTACAAGGGTATTGCCAGGTGACTTGATGACCTGTCCCCAAGGGTTATATCCGTTTATAAGGGATATAAAAAAAACAATTTAATTGGGGAGCAGCAGCCATCACTTGGGGTGCTACTAAAAAATACAATTTCCTATGTCACAGAGTTGTACCCTAGGAGACTCATGATTTGATAAATTTGGCAACATACACTAGAAGATCCCTATTTAGTATACCTTCTGGGTACCACAAACTCCTACATATTGTGATTATCCAGATTTTTTAAGTCTACCTTCATATTCATGCCACCTCAGCCCTCTGGATAAAAACATTCTCACATCTTCCAAATCACCCACAAGAGGATCTGCTTGCCCTCCCACTCCACGGAGCCTCTCCAGGGAGAGAGCGTTTCATCCAGCTGGACACTAAAACCTAAGAACACAGTTCTTTGGAACTACAGACGCAAGATAAAGTCCGTATTGAACTACATTATACCAAATAGAAGGACTTCTAGAAAGTGTCTGAGGTAGAAAAAAGGAAACCTCCTTTCCCATCATGCACCTAATGCAAGAGCTTCAAAGACTTTCAGCTCAAGAGTATACAAAAAAAAAAAAAAATACAGGTACACACACAATCTTTTTAATAAAAGGACTATAACTTTGCAGGGTTTGTGATGATTTCATCATATGTGCTCCCCCAAATTATACAATAAAGGAAAGACTACATGAGAAAATCTGTAAGAATAGTTTTTGAATCTTTTTATTAGCAATAAGAAAGGAAAGGAATATATGTTAGACAAATATAAAAGAGAAAAAACTTAAGGAGAACTAAAGACCCAAACTTAAGTTTTATTCTTCTGACATTAAGTCTATAAGTTTGGAAAATATTAATTTAAAATGTCTATCCTTTCTCATCTTTACCTAGAAAGAAAAGAAACCCTCTAGTTCCTAAGGGGGTAAGAAAGCAGTGCCATTAAGAAAGCAGTAATTATTATACTGCCTCCGTAATGACTGATAGGACCAAATGTGCATTTCCAAAGTCAAGATACCAGATGAAAGATAAATAAGTCAACTATTTAGAGTCCCAGGAGGCTTCTAAAGGCCCACACTGACTGCTGGGAAAGGAGTTTTCACCTTAAGCTTTTGCTTTAGGAGAATGTCTCAGTTTCTTACAAAAGCCAGTTGTGATAATTTAAACACCCACCACTTCATACATTAACTTGATTTGATTTAAAAGAAAATTCTTATGAGTTTTTCTGTTTTTACAAACGCTGTATCTATTCATGCTTCAACATGAAGGTCAAACAAGTCAAGAGCAAGCATCTATCTACATCTCTCCAATCTTTAGTAAATATAAAAAGATCCGAACGACAACACGATAAGCAGGTAGCTAATAGTATAGTAAATCTACTCAGCTGAAAACTACTGCTACCTGGCCTTTGCAGGATGCTGAAACAACCATGGTGAGTCTGACCTTTTTATGAATTCCAAAGTTAAGAGAAACCGGTTACTAATTTTTACTGCATTCAAAATCTCAACCAAAGGCCTGCTGCCTATATACAGCAAACCTCCACTTGTACTAGCTTGAATGTTCTCAGCCTGGTCAGTTCAAGAGGAAGAGGAATTAAACAACAATGGATTCAATTAAGGCCATTTGTTATTCATTAATCTATTTTTAATGGTAATAATTGTTACAGAACCTTAAAAACAAACTCACTTTGCTTCCTTACTGGATACCATCAGTCACCTGTCAGATTCGAATTATGCTCAATAAAATAAGGGGTTAGCTTGGCCCAGAAAACTTGACAGGTCAACTCCTACTATTTTGTCCTTGAACCACAACAAAGCACTTAATATGGCTACAGGAAACAAAACTTCTCTGGCATTTAGTGTAGGACAGAGGCCTTTACTGGTCACTAGAGAAACGAACCTTTCCCTTAAACCTGCCTGAATCCATTCCAAGAAGTTTCAGCCTGCCTCCTGGTCCTACAACTCTATCAAAACTCTCAAGCAGCTATTATCATTAGCCTCTCTCTTTAACCTCTCTGCAGCTTGACAGAACTCCATGAAACACTCTATACCTGACTTTGGTAATGGCAATGCCTTCCTTAAGTACAAGAGTTCTCTCAACTTTTACATTAAATCTCTTTTCTATTGTCTTTCCATATTCTCCATCAAAAGAGAATCTCAACCACTCCCAGGCTTCAATTATCACAAAAAGCAGACTGACCTCCAAATCGTTATCTGAAGATTGGACCAGTGCCAGGGACCGTGGGGTTACTGGCAAATGTGCAACAAGCACTGGCTAGTGAGTAAAAAACATGCCTTTCACACAGGCCTACTTTGTGAATGAAAGTAAACACCTTGTGATTTAATAAAATAATAAACTTATTTAAAAGTGTAACCAAATTCACAGTAGTGGTCGAAGTGGTCACAGTAGCTGTTGTCATTACAGTATATGTTTCTCACTCAAAAATACTAAAAAATATCAATGAACATGTGCAATTTTTTAATTAAAAAAATAATCTTCGTAACTGAAAAGTTTGAGAACCATCAGACCAAATCATTTTTCTGGTAATTTCGCATTTCAACTACTACCTGGAAATTGTCAAAACTTCACATTTTCCTCCCTTCTTCCACACTTCCAAATCTACTCTTCCCAACTCTTATTTCTTTAGTTGCGCCACTACTCTTTCATCTTTGTTTTCCTCTTCCTTTCTCAAATCCTCATCTCTTTAAACCACATCACCACCCTTTTTCTTTCTCTGCCTCAAAAGCACCCAATTCTAGTTTTGACTGCTTCTTGCTTCAACATTGAAAACAGCTCCCCCTTACCTCCAATACATCCCATACTGCAATACCAACTTTATCTTCCTAAAGATCTTCCTCTTTACTCCACCTGTGCAAATGCCCCCACTGCAAGGGAAAGAAATCCAAACTACTCATACAGGCATCCCAGACCCAAACCTACCTTTCCAGCCTTCTCTCTGGTCCCAAACATGCCCCTGTGCTCATGCCAAACTGATACACCGGGCATTCCTCGAATGTGCCTCCCACTTCCCTGCCCCTGTGCCAGGCACGCTCCCTCCCACCCACCTCCACTAGCCTTTTCCATAAAGCCTTTCCCACACCCCCTTGGTGTAGGTGTCCTCTCCCTTCTCTGAACCCCACACTACTTCCTGTCTCATTTTTTCCCCACTTATTAAAATATGCCAGTTACTGACCTAGTCCTGGGGATCTGGAAGAAAGATGATCTTCATGGGGAATGAGTTAAGAGGGAGTAGGAAGACAGATAAGCAGACACTTAAACACTGTGACAAATGCCATTCTAAGTGTTATACATAAGAAGCCACAGAACAGAGAAGCAACCCCACCTGGCTCTGCGGAACAGGTTACTGTCAGGCTATAAGCTCCCTGAGGGTAGGAACAGGCCTTGTTATCCCCCTCTGTTCCTAGCAAAGTGCTCAATGTAGAATAAAGTCTTTATGAAGGCTGCTGTTGAATGAAACCAACATTTGAGACAAAATCTGATCATTGGCCCCCTTTCACATACCAAAAGGGATGCTCTCTATGTAAATTGGTGTCCTGAGGAATTTCGAATCTAGTAACAGTGCTTTAGCTGTTACTTTCCCTATAATCTCCTACATTCTCTCATCCTCAATATTTATTTCTCATAAGGCTGTATGGTTGATTCCCATAACATGGCTATTTTTCCAAGAGATCAAAGGATGCATTCCCTGATGCAGAAACTACACATGATTAGTGTTAGAATATACTTCATGTGTTAGTCCAGACCCAGCACCAGCATTTTAAGAGATCATGAAAGAAAAGTCTTTTCCCTCCATTTCCACAAATAAAAATGCAATCGAAGCTATCCTCAAATAACAAATACCAAATGGATTCATAATCACTACTCTTGAATCCTCCTCTTCATGTCATAGGAAATATACACACTTTTGTGAAGTCTGTGGCATTCCAAAGAGGAGAGACTCTTCCAGCAGTGAGGAGAAAGCAAGGGCAAAATCCCAGTAAAATGTGACTGATTTTTTATGCAAAGGACTATAAATTCCTTCCTCCCAACACAGCCTGAAATTTTTACTTTAAAATTGTCTAAGTTAACAGCAGCTTCTTACAGATTTATAAAAAATGTGAAAAAAACTTGGGAAGTTAGCTCATGAGTCATTTACAGATTAAGGTGAATTAGTTCCACCAGACTGTTTTCCTCTTAACATCTAGATGAGATCCAGTGTGTGCCAAAGGAATGAAAGATAGGGACTGGAAATGGTAAGGAAAAAACAGGAAACTTGAGGGTAGAGACCGCATTTAAAGCCTCTGAAGTACCACCAAGTTCGGAAGACTGTAGCTTAAAGGTATAGGGCCTGGGGAGAAGGGCTCAGTGGGTTAGGACACAGGTTGAAACACAAAAGGTTTACAAAAAGCCAGAACTGGGCTTAGGAATGGATGAGCCTTAAGCCTAGGAAATGAATTCTAACTTTCGTCCTAGTCCTACAACTCAAGTTAAAATAATTAAGTTTAGTTACATCACGGCTTACACTTAAGACTGCAGACTTGGCCTAGGCACTAACTCCTGTATGTTCCAAGTGCCAAATAATTTACTTAAACACATTTATTACTAAGCATGTAGTGATCTTAAGGTATTTTGGATCTCATTGCTGTCAGAGCTCTGAATTAAACATATAGCTCCTAATGGATATTAGTCGTAACTTGGGAAACTTAAAATGTTCCCTCCTATTGATTTTTTCTGATTTCTGAATGAAGCTGGAGAAAAATGTCTTACAGACCCCTTAAAGTTTTAATTAAAGTATCCAATGCTTAAGTTTAATCTATTAAATTAGAAAAACAGTATATTATATTTATTTTTTCAATTAAACAATAACTACGCATTAACATAGGTATTTTATAGGATAAGGCTGGAAATTCTTCAATTAACTCACAGCCAAATCATTCAAGAAACATTGTCCTCTAAGCACACAGAATGCATGTAGTGTATATAAATGTTAACACTTTTTTCAGAAATTTCTCTTTGGGGCGCCTGGGTGGCTCAGTCGGTTAAGCATCCGACTTCGGCTCCGGTCATGATCTCGGCTCAGGTCATGATCTCGCGGTTCGTGAGTTTAAGCCCCGCGTCGGGCTCTGTGCTGATGCCTCGGAGCCTGGAGCCTGCTTCGGATTCTGTGTCTCCCTCTCTCTCTGCCCCTCCCCTGCTCAAGCTCTGTCTCTCTGTGTCACTAAAAAATAAATAAATGTTAAAGAAAGAAAAAAAAAAGAAAAAAAAGAAATTTCTCTTTAAAATTAAATTAATGTACTGTGCAAATTAACGTGCAGCCCCCTAAACAGAATGTATTGAGAAATGACAAACTATTTGAAACCCTAATGGTATGTTTTAGCTGTGAGAATTCTGACAAGATGAGGATTACTATTTTTTCCCAGCATCAACTTCTCTGATTTCCCACTTGTTCCATTATTAAGTTTAAGAGAGTTTAAGACATTCTACTATTGTACTAGTTTTTTGAACATGTCAGATCAAAAAGGAAATTTGCATTTAATATCGTAACTGTGCTAATCTTCATTCTACTGAAAAGTATGAAAGAAGCAGGTAAGATAAAACTAAATCCAAAGCAAAGGGGCTAGGGACCTTTTATTATTCCTGAATGGGGGTTATTTATTCCTTAATAGATTTAAAGAACTCCATGATGAAATATTCATATGCGAGACAATTATACATTAGCAAGATCTAAACTGTTCAAAACATTATAAAATGGTCCTTTCCATGAAAGAAATATAAAGCATAAAACATCATATTCATAATGCACATGAAGAACACCAACAAAAATAAACAGACTTCTAATGGAATAGATGAGACCCAAGTCTTAGAAAAGAGTCTAGGTCAAGAGACACACAAACCTGCCATATTTGTTTCCATTCAACTACCTTTTACTTTAAATATTTAAAGCTCATGCAATAGATTCTTCAAAGGTCTCTCCCACTTTGTAATACATGTAATTTCTTCTTTCAGAGCATCCACAATGCAAACCCCCAAAATCCTTAATAATAAACCATTATGTCCTTAAAGTGTGATTAAAATATCGGAAGCTTTAACTGATTCTCAGAGGAATGAAAATCTATTAACTTTCCTATAGGAAAATGGGTGTTCCTTAATAGTCACAAAAAAAGGAAAATTTTAAATTATTTTAGCTGAGATTAAATTATATCAATAATTCTGAAAAAGGATGAGATTTAATTAATATATCAAATTACTTATTAGACACACAAACTCACTAAATTTTCTTTTACCAGGTTTAGTATTCCTAAGGATTTCTGTCATTTTAATTACATCCACAATTAGCAGGCAGAACGAAATAAAATCAAAAGTCTACAATGCCTCAATGTTATTATTATTAATATGGATTCATTCACATATAACAGAGAATCACCAGAGACAAGGAATAGGAGATTTTTCTAATACCAGGATGGCATATTAACTTTTGTGCAAGATGCTAAACTAATAAAATCAAAACAAGAAACTTTCCCATGGTTCCTTGAAATTATTTTCTTTCAAGACCTAATTTTCCAGCATCCAACACCCCAACAAGAACAAAGAAGGCTGACCTTGCCAGACAGCTATACATTCTTAAGAGGACTTTTATATGTATTTTAATACCTAGGGGTATAACATAATTTTTAAGCTTAATTAAAGGACAATATTAAATGTCTCAAATGATATTGAAAGATGGAGGAAAAAGGATACCCTTGAATCTAAGAGCCCACTTCTACTGGCACTTAGGTTAGAAGCAGCTCTTTTAAGCCTTCACCCAAAATAGAGAAAGTCCTATGCATCGTTTTCCAATATTTCTCCTTAAAACCCACACATAAATTGTGACGTGTCATAATTTGGTATGTTTCACAAGGGAAAATCTTCAAAAAAGTGAAAATCTAAAAAGGTAATTCACTGTGTGCACACTTTTCTAACAAAACAGCCTAGCATTCCCTACGTGACTAATCTATTTTAAATTCTGTTCCTCTGTTCCTATGCAATCTAATATTATCTATTAAAACTGCCAAAATATTTTTAAACAAGATCTGAGAATTTCCCTCTCAGCTTCTGATCTTTGCACTCTTTGAGTTTGCAGACACGTCACTGGCAAACCAATTGGTAGTGACAGGTTACTCCAAGTCAATTCTTTGGGATGCAATCTGAAATTGACAGTTACCCCAAATTTTCCATGCCTCACGGATCTCAATGAGCGTGGTGGGATAAAGCTACATGCAAGTCAAAGATTCCTTCAGATCACCGGCTGCAAACTTGGTCTGCAGAATCTATACCTGCATCTTCCAACTCAATTATCCTTTTCCAAGACCTCGGAATATTTTTATATTTTTAGGCTTACTTGGAAGTGTCGTTTCATATCTTAAGCCTTGTGAACCCTGAGATTGAAAGCCATAAACCTGATAGCGCTTGCAATGTTTCTCCATGAATAAGATCACACACCTCTGCCCGCATCCAAGGCTTTTATGTCCCACATGTGTTTGCAAATTCCACACTCGGCCTTAGTGAGCACGAGTCTCTCGCTTCCCTGCACCTTGGTGCCAAGTTTCTGTAAGCCACTTCCAAGCAAAACTCTCCTTCCGCTTTTAAAAAGAAAACTACATTTGGAAGGAGAGGATACCCAGGAGAAAAATTAAGACTGAGTGTAACATTTCTATAAAGTAAACAAATCAACAAAAAGATCCCCTCCTGGGGAAGGTGGCTGCAAAACTCAGGGGCCAGCGCGAACACCCACCACGCACAATACACCACGCACCCCCGAGCCCCGCGCGACGACCCCAGTCGCGTTAGAATGGACTCGCAACCCCGGCTCTCTCGGAGGAAAGACGCACAACCCAGGCCCGCTGCCTTGCTCGCCCTCTTCTCGCTGCCCCGGCGCACCGAATTTCTCCGGGAATCGCCCACACGAGCCAGATGCCGCCCTCTCCTTCCGGTGGCGGCCGCGCGGGGCCCGCTCCCCAGGACGCCGGCCCCCGAGTGCCCGCGCGGCCCGGCGACTCTGCCGCCCCAAGTTCGCCCGCCGCCTCACGAGCGCCAACGCGTCTCGCACTTGGCAGACAGCGAGCAGGTACGTACTCGGCCAGCGGCTGCAGCGGTCTTGGCACACTCTCCCGCGAGGACTGCTCAGCCCCAACTCCGAAGTGACGGCCCCCAGCTCTCCCTCCTCAGGCGGCAGCGGCGGCCGGGACGCCCCCGCTCCCATCGAGGGGGGAAGGGAAGGTGGTGGGCGCGCTCTCCCTGCTTCCCCCCCAGCTCGGACCCGCCGCTCCTTCCTGCCCGCCAGCCCCGACGGCGCTCCGCTCGGCCGCGTTGGCGGCGGCGGCTCCTCAGGGCTCCGGCGCGCGGGCGGTGGCAGCCGCACCTCCCCCGCCGCGTCCTCCCTCCTCCTCCCTTCCCTTCTCCTCCCGGCGCGCGCTGCACCCTCCCCCTCCCCCGCCCGCCTCCGCCGCCTCCACCCCCCGCGCGCTGTCACATTGGGAGATTCCGCTCTTGCTACATTCGCCGCTCCGGCTCCCGCCCACGCGCGGCCGAGTGACGCAGATCCCGGCGTGGGCCGCCGCGGGGCGGGGGCGGGGGCGGCGGCCGCCGGGACCCGGGCTCGGCCTCTTCCCGCCGCCCCCTCCGCGGAATCCGGAGGGCGGCCCATTCACACGGCAGCTGGGAGGAACCAAGTGGGCGCCCGGGAGGGGGCGGCTCCCGCGAGTCCCGCTCCGGGCGGGGGGAGGGGGCGGGAAGGAGGGAAACGGGGGTGGAGGGCGGGAGGGGACGCCGCCTCGGGCCTGCTCTCCAGCTGCCAAGTGAACCGGGAAGATTTGCAATTTAAAAAAAAAATTCTTTTTTAATGTGTGAGGTTCCCAATATAGTATTTCAAAGAGCACACCCCGCCAAATCCAACATCCTCCGGGAGGCTGACTTGAAAAAAAATAGAGAGCGCCCTCGGCCCACTAATCTGGGCGCCGTCCTCGCCCCCGCAGGCGAGGCGGGTGCGCCAGGTGCGCCCCTTGCCCTTTGGTCCCAGGCGGCCTGCGGGAAGTTAGCCGCGACCGCACTGAGTGGGGGCGGCAGGTGCGCAGAGCTGGGAGAAAAACTGGCGATTTTGGAGAATCTCTGCCTCGCCCATCTTGCCCCCTCCCCAGCACTGCCTCGGCGTTGGGGGTGGGGGAGGAGGGGAAGAGTGAGAACCCACAAACCCGAAGTGCGGATTTGACGACTGTCCTGCTTTGCCCGGCAACTTAATTCCACCCTTCTCAACCCTCCTAAAAACCTGCCTGTGTTATTTTACTGGTTAATATTTTCTATTTCCTGGGTGAAGAAATCCGATAGTGCTTAGAACAGTTCTGGGGTGTATTTAAACAGAGTTCCCGAGGCACGCTATAGAATTTGTGAGTTTGGTTTGCATCAACTTTTCTAACCCAACAAAGTATTAAAACACCTCCATAAATGTACCTCAACTACTGTCACAATTTTTGGAAATTTGTTTTAGAATCTATTATCTCTTTACAAAAACGGGAAAATGAAAGAATTCCCCGAATGTTTAGCAACGTGCTCTTGAAGGGCAGAACACATTTAGTAAATCTAAACTACTGCAGATACAGGTAGAATTCCGTTTTAACATACATATAAAAACTCAGTTTTATAGGAAGCCATTCCCACATCCTGGCTGGGTTCCCAGTGTGCCTACTTCGCTGATGGGGATACAAGGCATTCTTTGAAATGGGAAATTCTTCATACCACATCTTTATGTTGCAGCAACGGATGGGATGATAACATTGAAAGAAAAAGGCCTTATTAAAGTACTGAACTTCTTTTTTTCTTTCTTTCAAAAACACGTTGAAAGAATGAGTATTACCACAACGGGATATATAGAATTAAACTTCTTTTTCCAGTGTTACTGAAAGGTTCTGTATGGAGTAGTTGCATTGACATATCAAATGAATAAGCATGCTTGCTTCCTCAAGTTCTTCAACTGAAGAAATCACTGCTGAAGTTTGTCTTAGCCTAATTGTCATGGTTTTGAAGTTGCAGACCTTGTTCTGCTAAAGAGAAAGTTAACAGGTTGTTATGAAATAAAGACAATTTCTTGGAAAGATACAGGTTAACAAATTTTCAGGCAATGAAATCTGCAAAATTCTAGTTTCTGTCTGGAATACTCATGTTTTGCAAACATTGTTGGTTCTGAATAGCTAGAAAAAAATAAGTTTCTTCCATAAGTATGTACAGTTAGTGATTCATAAGTCATGAAATGAGCAGTCTTAACCTGGACTGTTGAGCCTCCCAGTAGAATTGTTTCCAGAGTTGGTAGAAATGACATTAAATCCTTTTCCTGAGCCTTTGTATGTTTGGCCAGTCTTGAACATGCTGCTGAAAAGGAAATATGTCACAGCAGATATTTTTTCTTCCGACTTGTAACTGCTAATAGTTGTTCCCCCTCACCCATGGGGATATGTTCTAAGACCTCCCCAGTGGATGTTTGAAGCCGCAAATAGTACCAAACCCTATATATATTATGTTTTTTCCTGTATATATCTATGATAAATTTATAAATTAGGCACAGTAAGAGGTTAACAACTATGACTAATAATAAAATAGAACCATTATAATAATATACTGTAATAAAAGTTATGGAAATATCTTATTGTCTTTTTTTTTCTCAAAATATCTTATTGTCCTATACTAACCCTTCTTGGGGTGATGAGATGAACTGAGGTGAATGACTAGGTATTGTGACATAATTGGCCTTCTGATGTATCAGAAGGAGGATCATCTACTTCTGGACGATGGATTACTGAAACTATAGAAAGTGAAATCTGGGGCTACCATATTTCTACAGTTAAACACTGAAAACCTTCTTGTTTGTTTTGTGGGCGCATTTAGGTAGTCTATTCTTCCATCTTTGCATTGCCTTAAACACTCTATGGTGCTGGGGTAAGTGATGGGAGGAAGGAAAATGAAGAAAAGATAAATTTTTAAGCTTTTAGGCATCAATTTCTATGCTTGTATAGTGTCTATATGACAGCTATATAGCCAACTAGTCAGTGTGGCTGCTCACAAAGAGAATTCATCTGTATCTGATAAAGAAGCATGATTCTTGAGGTGCCTGGGTGGCTCAGTCGGTTAAGCATCTGACCTCAGGTTAGGATCTCACGGTTTGTGGGTTCATAGCCCCCTGCTTCTGATGCTGTGTCTCCCGCTCTCACTCTGCCCCTCCCCTGCTCACATTCCGTCTCTCTCTGTCCCTCAAAAATGAATAAATGTTAAAAAAAAAAAAGTATGATTCTTACTTCCCTCCATACCACTTGTCATCCATACTACCCCAAATACCACCTCCTGTTCCACCTCCACCCCACCCCATGTCCAGACACACACAGTTATCTCCCATTGCCAGGCCCTGGTGGTTTGTTAAGGGAAGACATTCCATCCCCTATGGTAAAAACTATAAATTCTGATCGTTCCATATTCCATTCCATCTTGTAAGTGTGTCTTAAACTTCTCTTGAATTCAATACATATGTGTTTAACAGGATCTAAAAAAAAAAATATGTTATCAGAAATTCTTCAGTGATTGGGGCACCTGTATAGTTCAGTCAGTTAAGCTTCTGACTCTTGATTTTGGCTCAGGTCATGGTCTCACAGTCCTGAGATCAAGTCCTGCATCGGGCTCTGAGCTGAGCATGGAGCCTGCTTGGGATTTTCTCTCTCTGCTTCTGCCCCTCCCCTGCTTGCACAGTCTCTGTTTCTCAAAATAAATAAATAAACATTTTTTAAAAACCAAAAAAAATACTTCAGTGATTAAAGTGCATTTGCACAAATAAGGAGTTCTTTGGACAAAACCATTTCCACATAATGAAACTAAAAAAGTTTTTAGTAAAAAAAAATGTAAAAAGTTGGTAGTGGTTCTGACATTTGAGTGAAAAATTTTGCTGAAAGAGCATTACTTTATTACTTTCAGAAAGATTTTTTACTTTAAAATGCCTCAGTGATTCAAAACAAAAGAATTCATAATATATTTAAAATGTTCTTAGAGGAGAGAAAGAATAGCATTATGGCTTATGACCTATAAGATTTAAGATACAATATAATGCTATCCTCCAGATTTGCTATTACTGCCTCAGAACAATTCTATACTTAACGAATTTTCCACTCTATGTGGTGGTGGCCCTACAATTAACTGAGTCATGTGTAATATTCATATAACCAGAAATATAATTAAAACTATCCTTATTTTACAATAAGAAACTTAAAGCTTTGGACGTGTACTATAAATTAAGTAGATTTTTGAATGCGTGAAAGTTGAGTATTTTCTCATTTCAATGAGACTTGAATATTTAAAAAAAACAAGTTTCTTCAAGGTAAGCTAATAGGAATGTGTTTCATAGCTGGTAATTTCAAGAGCTTGCTCTTTTTCTTTTTTTTTTTTTAAATTTTTTTTTCAACGTTTTTTATTTATTTATTTTTGGGACAGAGAGACACAGAGCATGAACGGGGGAGGAGCAGAGAGAGAGGGAGACACAGAATCGGAAACAGGCTCCAGGCTCTGAGCCATCAGCCCAGAGCCTGATGCGGGGCTCAAACCCACGGGCCGCGAGATCGTGACCTGGCTGAAGTCGGACGCTTAACCGACTGCGCCACCCAGGCGCCCCGAGCTTGCTCTTTTTCAAAAAATAAGCATATTTTCGCACATTGCATTTTATTATAAAACACTGTAAACAGTTCTTAAGATGTAAAGGATTATGAAGTTCACCAACCTAATTCAACCTCTTATGTATATTCAAAGTATGTTCAAATACCTTGCAGAAACTCAACATACAATTAGTTTAGTTCAAATAGCTCATTTATAAGTTGGTTATTTTGAACTTGTATTGCCATTCCTATTGGGGAAGAAAAAAAAAAATGAGACTGATTCCCAGCATGGGAATCTACAAATGGTTATAAAGTGCAAGTTAAAATACAGAATTACAGACTTTGGGGGGACAAGGTGGGCTCTTAGAGGTCATCTAACACAATTGACTTCTACAGTTAAAGACATTTACAGTATACATTGCTAATATGAACAGCAGAAAAATACTAATATAATATTAAATAGTAAATACAACCAAACATTTAATTGAATGAAGAGTAATTTTGGTTTTGTTTTTTATTTTTTTTAATGTTTATTTATTTTTGAGAGAGACAGCGTGTGCGAGCAGAGGCAGAGCAGAGAGGAAGGAAGGCACAGAATCTGAAGCAGGCTCCAGGCTCTGAGCTGTCAGCACAGAGCCCAACGTGGGGCTCAAACCCACAAACCTCGAGATCATGACCTGAGCCAAAGTCAGACACTCAATCTAGTGAGCTACCCAGGCGCCCCAATTTTGGTTTTATTTTTAA